GCTATAAAATGGTACTTGAAGTGTTCCCTGGAAACACTGTTCCTTTTTAAAAATCAGCTGTTTTCCTCCCTGTTTCTTCTTGTCCCTGTCAAAGAATGAGCATTTAAAGTCCACTGGTCATCGATTAAACTCAGTAAAAAACAAGGAAAATGTGTACCAAGTTTTCAAGGAAGTCAATCTTCCACTGCCGGAAAACTCAATAATGTCTTAAGGAAAGGAGAGGAATAATGCCTTTGTATTTTGAAGAGATTAAATACAGGAGGAAGATCCAACTTCTAATTACTCCTAAGGCAAATGCACACTGGAGAAAAGCCCCGTGGCATTAGGCCCAGATGCTGTCGTCCTCCTCATTTTACATGGCTGGAATTCCACCTAACTCCCTGCACTTACTCTTGGCTGGCTGTAGTTCTGCAGATGCAAATTTTTAACAGAGAAAGCTCAGCTCCAAATATCCTAGCTTTACAGAAGTGGACTGGGCACGATGCTGGGACAAAGAGCAAGCCAGCAGCACAATCCTCAGCCTCGCTGGTGGCTAGACCCTCCTGCAGTTTCCAGCCCTTTCATCTGTCATGCGGGCCACCGTGAAACTGCCCAAGAGCTGCCTGCATCTCAGAACTAATAGGCTGGACTTCCCTTCACTAACACAATCGTGGACCAGCAAAGATGGAAGAACCTGGACCAAGTCAGCAAGTTCGAAGTAGCTTACTAGAGAATCACCTGCTCCAGTAAATGGGCAGGCAGAAGAGATTACACATACATTTTCCTCGGTAGTGCTCTGAGGGTAATGAAGGAACCATAACATAAGTAAGGACTTATTTTGCCTTCCATGTACCCATATGCCAGCTGGCACCACTAAGTATTTGCTGATCATGCAGTAGAAGACTGTAGTTTGTCTGACCACAGAACAATTTTGTAACCCAAGAATCAATCTGTGCAAGTTTTTCTACTGTCCCGCTTTATTAGATGTAATAAATAAATCTCTGGCTTTATTACCAATACTTAATTCTTTTGTAACATTTGGAGAGAACAAAACTTTTCTTAGACAGCCACCCGCACAAACATAAATCCAGCATGATCTCCAATATTGACAACAACCTGTTCTAAAGGAAAGCCTAATGAACTGAGAATTAGAGATACACTTCCACAGACAAACACTAACACAACAAGGGAGGAATTGAATGTCACTGGCTCTTGAATTCTGACCCTAGTTTTGTAACCTTCTTACTGTCTGAACTTCAGTAAATCATGTGTTTTGCTGCTTCAGCTCCCCCATTTGCCAAACGAGAGCTAATAAAGACCTCACATGCATCATGCTAAAGTCTTTCACCCTCAAAACACTTTAGATGTGTAAAATAAGGCAAAAATGTTGAGCACTGTTAATAAACCTGTAGGTCAAGATGACTGTTTTCCTTTATAGAGTGAATGACAACAGATGCCCACTGAAACACCCTCCTTCCCCCAAGCAACAGTCAATAGATCACAGATGTAACAGACAAGCATGAGTGGAAATATGTGTGGGAATGACCCTAAAACAAACACCCAAGGAGGAAGCCACAGAAAAAGTATAACAGTAGGAAAAAGTTGGTCTTTTGGGGGTTGCTTTTTGGTTGATTTGTGGCCATTACACCATATAAGATAAATAAAAATGAGAGTCCTAGCTCACTGAAAAATGGGAATTAGTATTTATTTCCTGACTGTCACTTATTTACTTACAGTAGACTTTGATATCATGTGTTGCAAAAAAACCACCATGCACAAGACATTGCAAATAAACTCCTGTTTTCTAACTGGAAGTGTAGTCTTTAATGCTAAGGTTACTATTCGTCTTCTTGACAATTCCTGACTCCTCCGTACCGCACATTATCACTTGCCCATATCCAGCTGTTCTTTCACAATTCTATTAATGACTGCAGAGTAAGGGTTATCCTTTCCCACTGTGCCTGTAAAACACCCCATACAGTGGTGATGTACTGGGTGTAGCTGGGATAGACCTAACTACCTTCACAGCAGCTCGTATGGTGCTGTGCTTTGCATTTGTGGTTAAAACTGTGCTGATAACACATCAATCTTTCGGCTGCTGCTCAACAGTGCTCGCACAGCAGCAGGGCTTTCTTTCTCTCTTCTCTCTCCCCTCACGCCAAGTAGGCAAGATGTTGGGAAGCAACACAGTCACGACAGCTGGCTTCAGCTGACCAAAAGGATATTCCAGATCATATGACGTTGTGTCAAGCAATAAAAGCTCAAGAAAAGGAGGTATAAGGGGAAATGTTCACGGTTATGGCATCTGTCTTCCCAAGCAACCATTACAAATGCTGAGGTCCTGCTTTACAGGAAGCTGCTAAACATCTGCCTGCTGATGGGGAGTAGTGAATGAATTCCTCCTTCACTTTGCTTGCATGTGCAGCTTTGGTTTTCCTTACAAAACTGCCACTATCTCGATCCATGGGTCTTCTTGCCTTACTTCTATTTTCACTCCATCCTGCAGGAAAGGGTCAGGGTTTGGCTGCTGGCTGGGGTAGCCTACTCCTTACATGGGACTTCTAGCGGCTGCAGTAGTACAAAGAATAATAGTAAAAATCTTCATTGCAGAAAGGAAATGAAGGTTGTTTTTTGCAAATCCCAAGATCATATCCTGAACTGACAGGCTGAAACTGCCATCTTACTGTGTAACTTTTAACTATGGATAATAATTTTCTTTTTCTATACAGAATAAAGATGTGAAATGCCAGCTAAACTGCAGGGAAGAAAGGTAAGGTTGATAAGAAGCAAAATTGCCTCAAGGTTCCCAGTTCTAGAGAAAAACTCTAACTCTTATCTCAAAGATTTACCATAATACTGTGACACACACATTGTCATGTACGATCCACCCAGCACTGCATTATCTTTTCACTGAATTATTTTGCCTTGCAATGTACAACCACATTCTTGCTCTTTCTCAGAATATTTTCCTTTCTTTGTTGACTGTACTCCCCTCTGCTACACGTTCCTGTAAGAAGTTGTACTATGACTTTTTGTCTCCAGTGTTTCCTTTCCTTTTATTTCTACTCTTTATTCCAAACTTCTCTGTATACATGTGAACGCAGCATAATTCCCTTTTTTATTGTTTTCTAGCTGTCTTCCTCACTCCCTTGCATCAGGACATGCACTGCAATCAGCTAACTAAAAAATGGCACTATTCAGGCGAAAAAGGTCAGGGGACAGGATTCAGGATAGTACTACACCTGTACAAAGACTGGAGGCAGCAGCTCTGGTTTACCAGTCTCCAGCTGGTAATTGGCAATACCTGAAAGTGGTTTTTGCTTTCCATGCTTCTCTGCCAACTTAACTCTCTAGAAGCCAGAAACAGCTTTTTTTTTTTTTTTCCCCTGCATGCTGTAACACAGCACTGAGAGGAGAGCTTCTCCACTGCACTTGCTGGAGCACTGATGAACCTTTGTACTGCTTTAACATCCCTCCTCCCGGCTCTGGAAAGAGAAAGACCCTGAGAACTATCTATGAAATTGATAAAAACTGGTTGATTTCCACTCTCTTGAAACTTACCCAAGTTCTGGTGCAAGCAATAGTACAGAAACTGTCTGCCTAAAGATCTGGAGCAAGGGACAGAACTGACTCATATTCAGTTTTATCACAGACTTTAAAAAAACCCACAATATAATAAGAGCTAAATGTTTTTTGTATTTGAACAAAAAAAGTCAAAGTTTCCAGCTTGTGACACTAGCCAAGATAGTAAGTGGAATTTTCCATCCCTAAGCGAGCCAATCAGGATAACCATGCCCTGGAGAACTGTCACTGACTGCAGCTGTACATTTCCTAATGTTACACCTCAACACTGTGAAGCAACACCCATAAGTATGTATTTCTGGACAGAATAAAGGAATTTTTTGGAACAGCTTCCCAAAACAGAAAGATGAGCAAAGCGCAGGCCAACGTTACAACTGTAGTTCATGCAAGACTGGTTCAGCTCATTTAAGCAACAACGCTGACTGCTGCTGTAATTGAGATTTCCTTCTTCCAGGGCAGTATTGGAAATCTGAGCTGTAGCAGCCAAACCCCTACTAGAAAAAGAAGATGAAAAACCAGTTCATTTAAAACTTCACTAATGACAGACGAAATCAGCTGTCTTCAAGTGCATGGTTCTGTGAAGCAGCCAGTCTTTGGTTGCACAATAATCTCTCAGCCCCTGCATCTGGGCAGATTTCCTTCTTGTCTGGCTGCTTTGCTAAAATAAGGAGGCTGCCTGGCCTCTGATAAGTGACTTCTCTTGTGCAGCCCCATCCACAGGCGACTTATTGAAGATAAAAATGGTGGGAGGGTGAGAAAAGGCGAAATAAT